CCATCGAATTGACTGCAGATGCATCAACAGCAGAGACCATTGGATCAGTCCGTGCGCATGATGTTATGGCGGCTTCCACGTCTTGAGCCTTCTTTAAGGGTGTCTATATACAGGACATCGCACATGCAGCATGTTGGAATACCTCCAGCACCTTCACTGAGTACTTGAAGTGGGTTCTCCAGACGGAGGGCAGAGCAGGGAGAGCAGTGCTGAGGGTTGCTAGCTGTGCCTAATCATGTCCACAGTACCCTCTCCAGCAGGGGACTTCCTTAGAATAGGCAAGTCTCCTTAGTCTGATTCATTGCTAAACCCATTGCACATTATAATAGTGTGTAGATATTTATTATATCAGATCACTGTACAGGTACCTTGTATTACCAGTATTGCACAAAGAAAGACAAGGTCTTGGGACCTAAAGTTTTTCCTTGTAATAGACAGGACGTTGCATCAATGGTACTCTTATTGACTGCACGTGATTAATGTCCTTATTGTCCACCCACATGTGAAGCAGCTGGGCCCGCCCGGGGTTACACTTTATATAACACGTGCCCCTGTAATATAGAATAGCATCTCGCATGACCCATCGCCTACACCACGGTTCTAGTCTGTGCATAAGTAACTTGCTCTACAAGTACATGTAAGTAGAGTGACGTACCCCCCCCCCCCCCCCCCCACTATCCTCAATGTTTCAGTGCTCTAACTTAGCGCTCGAGAACAGAGGACGCTCACAAGGCATACATGTACATGCCGTGGGGCATCATGGGAAGGACACGAGAGGGCGCTATTGTGAAATCTCTTAGCGTAAATTCTTGCCGTTATGGGGAATATGCTTAAGTAAATTACTCTGCAGGTAAGTATATGTTCGTAGACCCCATCCGCACTTCTGGGGGCGGGGGGGGGGGGGGGGGGGGGTCGATATAACATTAAAATATTGAGTATATTTGATATATCAAATATTATCATTTATACAACACCTGAATAAATCCCCGTCATCTGATTGGTGGATCTTTGATCACTTGTCATTGTTTGCATTATATACTATTAAACATGCCTAATAAAATGCAGATGGGGAAATGTATGAGCAACTGCAAAACCTGTAATTATTCAAAATAAATGAAATGGGGCTACAAAATTACTCTTATTTGGGTCATTTTGTGCCAATTCAACGGGCCATGGCACCATACATGTATGTCACAGATTTTGTTCAGACTTGGTGGAAAGGTTCTGTTAGTTGTTCTATAGATTAGGTCGAAAGCAAAAATTCAAATTGCTTTCCGTTAAGGTGTAGCACAAAGTTCATTGAACTTTGCCCAAAAAAGGGGCAACTGACTGGCTCATAGAATAAATCGCTGACTTAAAGGACCCATATCTTGAGATTGAAATTGATTTGGAAGCTGATTTGAGATACATGGGTACAACTGCTGTTGTAGAGCAGGAATATAGGAAAATAATACCCATCATGCCTCACACCTTAATTTTAGGGGGGTCAAAAATGATCCGTCGTGATATGTCACATGCATTTTTTCAAATTTTGAAGGCCCCTTATCTTTGAACTGTGCATTAACTTTTTGTTATTTCAATTTTAATGTAATCTCTGACTACTAATATTGACATTTGTGTGAAAGAAAGAACAATTGTAGATGTCTTCCCTGATTTGGGTGACTCCCAATATGGCCCGGCCACAAATCCACCTTAAAATTGGCCCAAAACAGGGGGGGGGGGGGGGGGGCACCATGTGGCTCAGGTGATATAATTTTCTAATTTTTTTTAGGAAAGAGTGCATCTTCAAGATATGTATTATTAAATACAATTCTTGTGTATCTGGCATTTTCATGAAAAATCAAAGCTGCAAAAACACCCCCAAATTGGGCGACAGTGTGTGTTAGACACACATTGTGCATGTGCAGACAATTTTGACTGACCCCAATTCAGCTCAGAAGCATAAATGAACCTCTTTTTTGGCTTATGTGTATCTCAGTATGCCTCTCTACTTAATGTTGGTCCAAAAACTACATAAACATCCACACATTATGTCCTAATTGTAGTTGGGGGAACCTTTATACACCCCTTGTGTTACAAAAACGTAATTTGTCAGCTTTTCAAGCCTTCAAGTTTTGCCCTTAAAATCTCAAGTATTTTAATTTTAGCAGTGGATCAATTAATCACTAGACAGTACAACTACTGGTTTAAAAAAAAATGTAGTTTGGCAATTAGCCTTTACAGTTTAAACAACCTACGTGCTTGCGTTCTGTACAACCAGATTGTTACATTAAATTAAAGGATAAAGCCGCATATGTGGCAGGGCAAAGATTTAATTTTTTCAATGTATTTTTGTATGCTTTAGTATAGGAGTAGCCCCCCTGAGGAAATCCAGTGTTTTTTATTAGATGTCCTCCACCCTTTCATAGTAGTGTTTCCCCCTAATAATTATTTCGTTTAACCGTTTTGGATTTCCTCAAAAACAAAAACAATAAACGAACCATTGACCGCTTTGTCGTTTTACAGTTTTATAAAACGACAAACGGTATTAAGATAAATACGGTTTCTCCGTTTTATAAGTTTAGTAAAATTCATTATGGCATAAAAATTGATTATTTTTGTTTTACAGTTTTACACAAATAACTTTTAAAAACAGCAGAACGGTCAGTATTGAATACAGATTGTTTTTTATTTTAGTGTCATAGTTAACAGTCCGTGGTGCATTTTGTGGCGGTGGGCAAGGGGGTGGAGGGGGACCATGCTTTACATGAGTTTTGGCTCGGCATAATTAATGCTCGGTGTGATTCCTGGCGCCCTTTCTCATGCGATTCAGTTGATGGGGCTTAAAGAGTTGCAAGCAAAAATGGCGCTGGAAAACTGCAAAGGAGGGTATTACTTTTCACAATGGATACAGGATGGTAAGACGTTTGATGAAGTTGCAGATATTTTGAAGGAAATTGGAGTTCAAGTCGACGCGGCTCTTCAATATCTAATTCGCAAATTCTGTCGTGAGAACGAAAATGTAAGGAGGGCCCAGGCAATGACTCGATCCCAAGGACGCATTAACATTCCTAGGTGCATTGCTTAATTGCTGAACCTAAATAAAAAAATGGTCGGCAAGACTATTGACCGTTTTGTCATTGTCGTGATTTTGTAAAACAACACTCTAAAAATAAAGCAACTAACAGTTTAACGCTTTCTACAATTAAAAACAACAACAAAAAGTTTTTTTTTTGGTGTGACTTAATACCGTTTGACCGTTTTACAAAACTGTAAAATGACAAAACGGTCAATGGTTCGTTCACGGTTTTTGTTTTTGAGGAAATCCAAAACGGTAAAACAAAATAACGGTATGTCCCGGGATTGTTATGTTATGAAATTATGTTTTAATGTACATGTAGTATTTGTGTAAGTTTTTAGAAGTTTGGATCTGTTTTGGTATTGTTCAGAGTTTCAACAATCAAGTTTTATAGAGGTGTGATTTCAAGTGTATACCAGTTGAGTTTAGTGGTTTGAAGAATTGTTGCTTGTATTTAATATGATGGATCCTGACAGTTGGAGTTTGGGGATTTTGTAGGAAAATTGTGTTGTCACAACAAGGTTGAATTGTTGACTTACTAGTTTTCTTGTAAATAAATCCTTTTTGTCTTTTTGTCGATTTGAAATCTAGAATTGTGTCCCTTGTCCCTATTAATTCAATTTCCTCGTGACAGTTCCCTTCAGAGATCCTGAGGTTAGTTTAGTGTATTTAGTTTATCCCAATAGAGTCTTAGTTTGTGCAAGTTCCCTTAAGTGTGTCATTTTTCCAGGTTACACATACATATGTTCATGTAAATGGGTGAGAAAAAATCTTCCCTTGAATCACTATAAATGGCTCTTTGCTATAACAAACTCTGTAGATATACTAATCGTAAGACAGTTTGCCCATTCCTATTGGTGAAGCCGGTCACGTGGCCAGTCTTAAACGGTTGATAAACACCAGCTGGCTGGTCTTAAAAACTTTTCAAGTGTCACACGAAATTTGGACTCCTGTGAAATCTGGTGCCTTTGACCTTTTACCAGGCGATCCAACTTCGGCCGATTGCACTATGTCATCATGCATGGTACGACGTTTGTAGGCAGTAGTCACTGGTTCCGGTCCTTCATCATAGCATAGATTCCGTTAGCACGTGAAGGGAACCAGTGTACCATGCTGTATGCGCTGCATGCGCTGCATGCTAGCTGGGTGCTGGCGGTCGACAGAACCCGTCATCGTGTGCATTTTTATCACACATGCTTCAGAAAAACAGGGTTTCTGTCAAGATTTTGCATGTCAAGATGAAATAATGGCGTATGTAATGATTATATTGGGCATTTTAATGGCGTGTATAATAATTATATTGTTTGATCGGGGGCTGAAAAATGTGATAGGCATTTTTGTTGGCGTATCGGGCCAATAGGCAGTATGCTGGTTTGTACGTGCACGTGGGGAGAATTAATCTTGCCGTCCGTCGGCCAGGCGCACCAGTTCGCCCCGATGCGTTTGTGCACAATCATACTTCATGTAGTTTGAGAATTCAAGTTTTGAGTTCGTCACAATTTTCGCACATTTAACACAGGTATGTTTGTGTCAAATCATAGTCAGTTTCAAGTGTGGAAAATGGTTTATATTCGTGGCAAATAGTTAAAAGAATTGAAATGTTTGAAATTTGTTCATTTAAAATGGTCAACATCAACCTTCAAAACGGCAATAAAAAGTTTGAGGTCAGCAATTTGGCCGAAAAAATTCCAGGTCGGTCGGGTTACCGTAAACACACCATTTTTTTTGTTTGGCCTAAGTAAAATGTTCAAGATTTTGCAGTGAACAAATGTGTCTTTGCATGTTGGCCTAATCAGCCATGTGGTTGCGAAGGGCGATTTCTAAAGATTGCGTAACACTTCATTTTGAATGAAACTACATGTACACAAACATGTTCACACAGGCGGGCGAAATCTTTGAAAATTAATTTAAAAACGCATTGTACTCTTTCTGATATTTGCAGACACCCAACAGAAGATTTATACCTTTGTCAGTTGTTCAAACGGATGCAATTCTTAGTCTTGACTGTGACACCATCCTTTCTACAAATGAGGTAAGTTAATGAAAGGCCTTATCTATGAAGTGATGTAGCATAATGCAGAATTAATTGGCTTCACAATAATACCTTGTGCATTTCAGTAGCGTACTTTATAACACCTCACCCACAGATTCTGCGTCTTGATTGCCCTCGGTGATCCATGAAGCATTCTATTTTCCCTCGGCTTCACCTTGGGAAAATAGAATGCTCCATGGATCACCTCGTGAGGCTAGTTTTACTACACCACTCGAAGCATTCAATATTTGTATACTATTCCCATCATATGCAGTGAAGATGGCAGTGTACAACCAAATTTCCAGTAAAACATTATGGAAAAAAAGGCTCTGAAATAAAAAGTTCGTAAAAACATATGGTCCCAAATTTGATGGGAAATTGACGTAAAATTGTTGAGGAGAAAGGGATGAGGGGGTGGGAGGATGAGTATTTTGATCCTTGTGAAATAAACATTGGGCAGCCTGGTTCTATGCAAAACTGGACATGACCATCAAAGTTTAAAATGGAATTTCTGGTGAACTTTTTAACTTTCATTGGTGAGGCAGATACCTAAAGTTCGTAAGTATTAGTGTCGCCCCGATTCATTAAATTATCAAGTATTTTCAAAGTTCTTGATAAAGTTTGTGCAAATGTTACAGTAATACAAAATGGTGAAAAAAATTTGCAACATTTTGATTTATTAATATTTATCAACATCAAGCATATTTTTCAACAAATTCAGTTGTTCAAGTTAAGCAGTATTCAGTAGTTGACTTTCCTGTGTTATTACCTCCGCTAAGAGGTTATGTTTTCATCAGATTTAATAAGTTTGTTGGTTGGTTGGTGTTAACAAGATAACTCTAAAAGTTATGGATGGATTTGCACGAAAAAATTGTTAGGGGTGGTCCTTGGTACAAGTACAAATCGATTCGATTACAATTTCATTGCGCTTCCAAAATTTAATACTTTCTTTCATTGGATTGACTTCAACCTTACTACAAACCAAGACCACAATGCAAAAATGTGCATTGACAAGTGTAATCAAGATGAAACCATAGTAGGGCATGTGACGTCATCCAATGCCAAATCCGAAGTGATGTCAACATGCCATTGACTAATTTCTATACATTTTATATCTGTTGGCTATACTAGCTCAATATAACTGAACTTTGAACCGAAGACGTCATGATGACGTCATCATTGGTCACGTAACGTCATCATTCATGTGCATATTACAAAGTCCTATATCAACAGAACTGTACGCTTGATTGGGTTGAAACTTGGTATGTAGGTAGACTGGGATGTGTTGACGTCATCATGGGTTGCATAACGTCATCCCAAAAGTGCATATTGTAAAGTCCTATATCTAGAGAACTGTAAGTCTGATTGGGTTGAAACTTGGTGTCACGTATGTTTCAGCCCCATAGACCGTGTGTGCATTTAGTTTGCCTTCTCACACATGCGCAATGGTTTCCTCCGCGTCGTCGGCTTGCAAACAGTGGTAGCAGACGACGCACTGAACGATTGTCTGGTTTTCATGTCTTAAAATGTATCTGTCTCGAACGTACTTAAAAGATTATTAAACCAAAAATTATCAGTAGACCAAGTGAACAAAGATATAAATTGTCTCTACAGTGTGGAACGGCGCTAAAAACCTTTTCAAATATATAAAAAAAAACACCAAAAATTATGGACAAAAAAACGTACAAAATGAAAAGAAAAAACATCGTTCGCTTTTGAGTTTGGTTTACACATTTGGTAAATTTGCCGAGTTTACCTTAGATCAGCAATAGTACCATTGAAAAGGATGATAGATTATTTTCATTTTACAGGTGATTTGATGTAAAAAGCAAACCTGTAGCTTATAAAAATCGTCATTTTTCGAGTAAACCCATTTTGAAAGCTTCGTGCCCAAATAAACTGGTCCCAGTGCCCTCTATGATTGTACTTAACTGTATTTCAGGGGCGGGAACCAGTCAGTTGTAAATCGTTTCAGTTAAATGTATACATTTCCAATGCGTCGAAAGATTACAAACGGCGCGTGGCGCGAGGCTAGACGGGCTTATCCAGGGTCCGTGTACAGTACGTGCACAATAACGTTACATTCAACGAAAAAACGTCACACGTGAGACCTTACTTTTCTCATTAAAACGGTTTCCGACTTAAATGATATTTATACATCGCACTTTCCGTGGCATCCTTTACCATTTTTCAGTGAAGACAAGTTTACAGTTACTCTGCAAAAATGAAAAATTATCCCCTAAACTGTCCCCTGTTTTGAATTTGTGACCTAATACTTTCGTACTACTAGACACGGAAAAACAAAAAAAATTCGCATCAAATACTCTGTTTTTTAACGCTAAGGTTTGCAAAAGTGATTTTGATTGCCTTAAATTCCTGTCCACGTGGAAAGAAAAAAATATCAAAGTATTTTGAGCGTGATGTTGACCGATACTTCAGTGGGTCAAACTGGGACTGCAAGCATCCGTGTTTGCTGATTATCAGTTTTTCATTATTTGACTGCGCAAACTAAATGAGCGGCTGAAACACATGGTATGTGAGTAGACTGGAATGTGTTGTAGGTAAAAATTGAGGTGACGTAATCATGACGTCATCGTGTGATTTTATATACATTTTTGGATTTTTGGACCTTTAAGCCATATCTTAGGAACGCACCATGCAAAATTCAAAATTCTTTTTGTATTTTGTTTGTTTGGTAATAGGCGTTTGCACAAAATTTTGAAAAACGTGTGACGTCATGATGACGTCATCAAAAATGCAATTTTTGAAAACACATATAAGGGAAGTTCTGATCGTCATAAAACTTGGTGGATAGCTAGATAATGGTACTAATGTGCAGAATCCGAAATGACGTTACCACGACGTCATCGAATGAATTTTGATGATTTTTTTAATATTGACAATTTCATTCCGCTTCCAAAATTGAACAATTCCTTTCAGTGGATTGACTTTAATGCAAAAATGTGCATTGAAAAGTTTTATCAAGATGACGTCATCATAAGGCATGTGACGTCATCTTAAACGTGCATGTTTAAAGTCTCATATTGAGAAAACTATCAGTCCGAATTGGTCAACATATGAAGGTAGTCTGATATGTCTGATTTAATATGGATTAATTTCTTTTTGACGTTAATATATCTCACAGAAGCTACATAATATATTAGAAAATTCTTGCACTGTATACTTTGAAAATTGTACATGCATTGTCTGGGACGTGTTATTGATTTAAAAAAGCATAATGCGGAAAAGCCCTAGGTTCTGTTACAAACAGACATAGATCTCTCGTTTTGTTTTTCTTTTTGTTCCACCCCAAATCCCATACACTTTTGTACACGTTTATTCGACCCCGGCACTTTTGACCTAAAACAAAATCGTATTCAAATGAAACCTAACCTATGTAAAGACCCCATAGTGAGTTTGTGTCCCGAAGAGTGAAGTCATGATTACGTTATCCTGGGTCATGGTCAAGACCCTATATCTAAAGAACTGTGAGTCCGATTGGGTTGAAACTTGGTATGAAGGCAGACCGGGATGTGTTATAGGTAAAAATTGAGGTGACGTCATCATGCATCAAATTACAAGCAATTAAAGATAAATAGATTTAATCTTTGAAAATCAATATAAAATCAACCGTGACAAATTTTTATGGGAAGTGATGGAATAATCCAGTATCTTCATTTTATCTCCTGCGTGCTAAATCATATGACCCTTCCTTCCGGTCCAAACCGGAAGTGCCTGATAATTTGATATATCTCATGAACGGTAAGTCCGATTGGGTTGAAACTTGGTATGTAGGTAGGCCGGGATGTGTTATACATGTAGGTACAAATTTAAATGACGTCATCATGACGTCATCGTGTGATTATCACCATATCTCTCGAACCCAATATGCTAAATTAAAAAAAAAATTGTATTAAGTTTGTTAGGTATGTGCACAACATTTTTTATAAATGTGCGACGTCACAATGGCGTCATCAAAAATGCGATTTTTTAAAACGCATATAAGGGTAAGTGCAATTGACTTGAAACTTGTTGGGTAGGTAGATACTGTTATAGTATGCAAAATCTTAAAATAATTCATGCTTACGTCATCCCCTAATTTCTTTTTTGATTGATAAACTTTTTACCTTTTCTTCAAAAATGCTTTTATGCATTTTCAAATATATAATAAAAACAATTGCGGAAAAGGCTATGTCCTGTTTATCGAGCAGGCATAGCTCTAGTTTCTCTTTTTATGCCCCGCGGCGAAGCCGAAGGGGCATACTGTTTCCGCCTTGTCCTTCCGTGGGTGTGGGTGTGTGTGTGTGGGTGAGTGTGTGGGTGAGTTGGTTTGTGGATTGTTCTTGGTAATCCTAAGAAGCCTATTGCATTTGGGGCCGAAAGGTCAAGGGTCAAGGCCACAGTGGCTGAAACAATAGCAATTTTGTCAGCGCGATAACTTGAGAAATACTTTACATGTGAACTTCAAATTTGGTTTGTGGAGCGTTCTTGGTAATCCAAATAGGCCTATCGCATTGGGGGTCGAAAGGTAAAGGGTCAAGGTCACAGTGGCTAAAACAATAACATCTTGTATTTATTCTGAGATCATAGGGATTAGGGATTAATTCATATAAACCCTACAGAAGACACTTATGCTGTCAATGAACGTTCCATGTGACCAAGGTACATGTAAGTTGATGTTAAAAGAGTGGTATTATGTCATGGGAACAGTCACGGTTGCGGGGCATTTGTGTTTGTAAACACATCTGACTTGTTCTTTTTTCCTTTTTATTCCACCCCAAATCCCATGACTTTGTACATGTTTATTCAGCGCGGCATTACGAACCTAAAACAAAACTCGTATTCCAATGAAACGAGTTTGTGTCCCAAAGAGCGACATTGTGATTACGTCATCATGGGTCACGTGACGTCATCTTCAACATGCAAACTTTAAGACCCTATATCTAGAGAACTGTCAGTCAGATTTGGTTGAAACTCGGTATGTGGGTAGACCGGGATGT